CTGGCAGAAATTACCTCAAACCAAAAGTACATGGAAGTGATTGTTGATAAATCAAAATAAATTAATAAAAAATTTTTTAAAATGAAAAAAACAAAACAAAACAACAGTCCAGGTAAGAAGTAATGAGAACCTGACTAGGTTGATAGCAATAGAAATGGAAAAGGGAGGAGGCAATAATTGCTTTTGGGAAGGAGACATTTCTCCTGATGCCCTAGGGAAACACAGGCCCAGTTACATGCTATGTGACACTGAGGGGAGGAGCCTAACCTGAACTGTGAGGATGAAAAGAGGCATCAAAGGAATCAGGGGCAACAAATTTCACCCAAAAATTCCTATACAAACAAACAAGAAGTCTGAACCTCCTACCTAATAGGAATCAATCTCAGATGAAAGGTAGACCACAGAGGACTGTCCATCATGTGCCCCCTGGTGGCTAAGAGAGGCCACCAGAGGATCCTCTGCATTACCAAAGGAAAACATAAATTAAGCTTTCTTTCTGTAACCTTAACATAACAAAATAATAACAATAATAACTTGCCTTTGTATAGTACATTATAATTTACAAAGCCTTTTCATAACTATCTCATTTCAGCCACATAACAACTGTGATATAAGCAGGGTATGTATTATCTTTCTTTTACAGATGATCTGATAATGAAACCAGACTATTTGGCAACTGTTATCTACTTTTAACTATGGTTTCAAGCTTTGTAAACAGATGAGTTGATATTTTCCATTATTCCTATTTTGTGCTTTATTTAATACTCTGAGAGAGCCATGATTTCATCATATTCCCTCCACTGATGCAGATCATGACCCCTTCATGCCTTCGTATACAGTTTCATCACTTGCTGAAGCCCAAAAAACTCATCACAGAAGAATCACATAAATGAAAAAAACTTCATTTCTTTCCATTTCCCAGAGCCAAACACAATTACAATGAAAAAAGTCTGTGCATCCTGAGAAGCCTTGAGGAAACAGGGCTGCAAAGTTCTAAAAGAAATTCTGGGTGCTATAGCTCTTGAGCAGGAGAATAACAGAAAATGGGCCCATCTGAGAACTTATCAAAGGCTATGTGGTGTTGAATGACCCATAAAATGAACTTTCCTGATACCCGTTAATAGTATGCTAAAGATTTCAAAAGTCAGTTTAACTTTTTCCAAATGCAAACAAACTTGAAAGGCACAGAGAGAGAGGTCTGAGTACAACAGAAACTAGGGTACTGAGTTGTATCAGATGTTTCAGACAAAGATGAAATTGTAGTGCTTGTTCTGCTAAGCTCTTTTTTAAAGTACTCAGTGGTCATGTGATAAGAATATGGAAAGCTATGGTTCACTGATCACACTTTTATTCTAATAACAATGGAAGCAGTTATTTTATAGGCTGGACAGTCTCCATTTTAATCCACACACCTCTTTTCCCTGACGGATATTCTACATGCTATGAATTTACACATGTAATCTATAGGGACTGTACTAAAGATGGCTCGACTTGGAGGTGACTGTGTTATTAAATGCTTTGTTATGGAGTGAAAGTTCTGGCAGGTCCTGCAAGATGGAAAGATTTCAAGTGTAAGATCAGTGAATGTCTGTGTTCCAAGACCAAACAGAGTGACTTGGCACCTGGCACACAGTAAGTACTTAATAAGTACTCTATGCAGCTGTCCATCTATCTATCCATCTCTCTCTCTCTCCATTGCATGTATGCACTCATGTGCACACACACACACACACGGTTGGTTAGATGGCAATGAATTTTTCAGCCACTGGAACTCTTGAAAATCTTTAAAAGTTATAGAGGGGCTATAATTTCTGTTAAAGTAGTGAAGTTACAGATCCTTGAAGTAATCTACAGATGTCCTAGCATTACAACACACATACTTCCTCGAAAAATATAACAATAGGGTCATTTAGGTGGCATAACGCATAGAACACTAACCCTGGAATCAGAAGGATCTGAGTTCAAATCCAAACTTAAAATACTCACTAACTGTGTGACCTTGGGCAAGACACTTAGCCCTGATTACCTTCAACAGCAACAACAAAAAAGAAAAATATAACAATATGCAAAATATTAGGAATGTGATAAAAGAAAAAGATGTTTAGTGGCCTTGCCAGAAGAAGAAATGATCAAATTCAGTGATTGCTTAAGATTAGACTTAGGTTTTCAAAAGAGAATTTGTTGTTTTCTACTAGACAGAAACACATTTCACGTGAGGGATTAATTTTAGCATATATATTATATTAGTATGTTATATACTATTACATTCTAAACACAACTGACAATTTAAAATATTCCTCTAAAATCCTACTGGGTACTTTAGGTTATCCCTTTACCAAATTTTAAAAAAATCTTGAAAAAATAAAATAAGACTATTTCATATTGATTTTTACATGTCATTTGCCATAATGAGTCTTAGAATCTAGTTAAACTTTCTAATACATTTCACTCATGCTGCTGCTACGAAGATAAAACCGCTCCTTAGCAGAGATGTATTCTTGCTTTGTCACTGACACTGAAAAAGAACGTTTACACTTTAGTTCGGATACCACTTTTAACAGGATCACAGACCTAGAGCCTGAAGGGGTGCTCAGAGACCATCTAGTCCAACTTCCTTGGTTGACATATGACGAAAATGAGACTCAGAAAAGTTAAGAGCCTTGCCCAAGATCAAATGGCAAGTAACTGGCAAAGGCTGGATTTTGAGCCCAAGCCCTATGAATCGAGGCCACTGTCCTTTCAATGCTGCCTCCCTTTGGGGAGGGAGAGGAGAGGAAAAAACCTATTCTGAAGAGACAACAGGCAGCTCCATTTCACTTGAAAATAGCACCAATCATTATTGTTTAAATTCTTCTCAATATTAAAGTTATTCCCTGGAAGATAAAAAGGCCTCTAGGAAGTAACACGAACCTTTTTAGACTGCTAGGGTATTACTTATTGCATTGAAAAAGTAATTAATGAATTCTTGACTTGCCTGAAATACACCTCTCAAAGTACCCACTGCTAATTTATGTACTAGGAGGTCTTCCCAGCTACTTAGCATTTCTATTTTCAAAAAAGTATAAAGACTTGCAGCTATTTGGCATTCACATTAGGCCTCTAAAGTCAATATATATATGTATACATATGTGTGTGTGTGTGTATATACAAATATATATACACACACACATAATATTTATTTTATATTTATTTTATAAATGAGAAAAAGAAATAAGGGGCACACAACTGAAGTCAAACACAAATGGTGCCCTCCTTGCCTGTGTATCTAAGCAAACTACACAATTCAGATAATTTCAGGCCCCAAAGTGTTATTTTTTTCCCCAAAGTGAGATTTTCTTTCCATTCCAAAGAAAAGGTATTTTATTCTAAAGAGGTTTCTCATTCTAAAGAGTAGTAAATAAAATCAGTTTAAATACAGGTCATGAGTCATTTTTCTACTTCACTTTAGCTGGGCAGTGATTAAATGGCTTTGGGAAACCTCAAGTTTCTTCATTTATAAATCAGCCATGTTAAGAAGAAAGAATTCCCCAGTGTGATGACCACTTCTTGTCAAAAGTAAATGCAACCTTCTTGCTTGTTACATTTATAATGGTCATTTCTAATTAACAAAGTTTAATGCGGTTCTGGACAATTCTCATTTTTTTCCTTAATTCTTTGGAAATGTCTTAAGAATTCTGGTCTTCCCCTCCCCACTCTGGCTGACATACCCAACCCTTCTGCATTTTTTATATTTCAGTTCACAAGTCTAATAAGTTTATACGGAATGTTTCCAGTTTAAATTGTCAGTGCAGAGAACTTTATTTTATTTGTTGCCTGTTCTACCAAAAACTTTTGGAGGGATAACTGTCTCCCAAAGAAGTGCTAGAATTTCAGATGCCTAAGATTCTTTCCTGGATGCTTAAGGTGTGGCTGGAGAGTAGGGGATAAATCCCAAATTTATCAATAATTTAGAGAAATCCAAAACAGAGAACTTAGATTTAAAAGTTTTTGCTCAAAAGAGGTGGAGATGTGGTAAAGACCAATGACTGAACCATTCTTCCAAATGATTAAGATGAAACATACTTAAGCTGAGCTGTTTAAATATATGCTCATCTGACAAGGAATGCCCCAAAGCCAAAAAGCCAAAAGTTCCCAAAAGGCTGTTTCAATTAAATAGATTCTATAATAAACAGAATAAAAGAGGGGGACTGTGGTATAGTGTATGCAATGCTGAGTTCAGGGCCAGGAAGACCTAGGTTCAGGTCCAGTTTCTGACACATATTGGCTGTATAGCCTTGGGCAAATCACTTAACCCCTCAAGGCTCTGTAGAGGCCCTTGTCTAAGACTAAACTGCAGAGAAAGTACCAGTTGTAGAGTTTACTAGCTTAACTTTTCAATCTTTCTTTTCTGTACTGCCTTCTCTTTTGAAAGGAGAGAAGCTATGAAATTCTATCAACACATTCCATATTTGGTAAACAGACTTTGCCTTCCAAAAGAAACTACAGTGAAGAGTTAGATCATTTCTGTCCAATAAGCTCCTTCCTGATACCAGCTCAGGGCTCACAGGTGCATGTACAGAATCCACAAGTTGGCTAACTACACTAAAGGGAAACTACTTATAGGCAGCCCTGAAAAAAATTAACAGGGAGAACCTTAAGTTCATTAATCATTGATTTGGATCTAGAAGTGGATGAAGAACTCATACAGTCCAACATCTCCATTTTACAGCTGTGAAAACAGACAGGAGAGGTTAGAGGCCTTGGCTAAAGTCACAGAGGTAGTGGGTGGCAGGTCTAGGATCTGGGCCCAGCTCCTCTCATTTCAAAGCATACTCTTTCTAGCGTCCCATTCAACCTCTCTTAAGTGATACCACCAATTAAAGTAACTTCCCCCACTTCTTTTGGCAAAGTGTGTTCAAGGGACTTCTTCTAAGATACTATGTATGTTCTGCTACTGGTGTGAGACTTAGCAGATATTTCACATTCCATTTTTATTCTATGACCCACCGAATTTTACCTACCAAGTCTGGCTTGAGTCGAAAAGTCAGAGGAAGGGAGTAACACATAGCATACAAGGTTGTAAACACTGAAGAGCTCCAAGACTGCTGGACCTCCCGACTCCTTGGAATGTGATGAGTAGTGTACTAGAAGGAAAGAGAAAACCCAACTCTCGTGTTAGATTGCCACGGTGGTGAAATATTACCACCTGCTAGCATCAGCATGAACCACATTTTAGCTTAGTCATCTTTTCTTGTCTAAGTACTTTCAAAACACAAAGCTTATTTTATTCACTTAGTTGAATAAAACACATCTAACTGGGACATTTTAGTATCACAAAATTTTTGGAGGTAGAAGGCATCTCGGTAGCCATCTAATCTTATTAAAAAACACGTTAAAAATCTAAGTTTCCACATAAAGCATTAAACTCCTAAACAAGCCTGCATGAGTCTCTCTGCTTTGGGCTTGAGGAAATCCTATTCTTTAAAGCACAAACAGGGAGAAGAATCCCTCTCCCACCTTCTTTGAATGCCAATGTCTTCACACTTTTTGACTTTAACACACTTCTCTGGTCATGGAATCATAGAATTTCAGAGTTGTCCGAATATCCTTGAAAAATAATCCCCTCTAAAACATATCATTCACTCTCTTCTCCAGGCTAAGTATTCCCAATTATGGCATTCCATGATGAATAAGGGAACTCAGAGGCCCAGGCTCCATTATATGACATCAGACTCAATCTCCTCCAATCAGGAGGCTTCCCGATTGCTTTTAGCACCTATTCCTACATGATAAGTCATAACTATCTTCTCTACCTTGGCCCAAAGTCAAAGAAGAGGCATAAAGAATTATAACACGCAATTAAAGTTCATCTTACACCCTAAAAAACAGCATACAACATGACTCTAAAACACATACAAATGAGTATTTCTTCATATATGTACATGCCACATATTTAGCACAGTACAGAAGAGGTCATGCGTACAGCACTTTGTAACCAAGTAAGAAGACATTATATTTCCTCTCCTCCTGTGAGCCTATAGAAATCAAGACAATGGGGCTTACCATTACTCACTGTCATGTACTAATGTAGAGTTTTTTCACCTTCCTTGGAAAGACTCAAGGCACTGAATACTCACTGAACACACAACTTACAAATAATGAATAGGATAACAAACATTTATAAAGTACCCACTATATCCCAAGCACTGTGCTAAGTGCTTTTTACCAATATTTGCTCCTCATTTTCTCCTCACAACAACTCTGTGATTTAGGTGCTATCGTTATCCTCATCTTATATTTGAGGAGACTGAGGCAAACAGAGGTTAAATGACTTGCACAGGGTCCCCCAGCTAGGAAGTGTCTGAGGCTGGATTTGAACGCTAGTCTTCCTGACTCCAAGCTCAACATCCTATATACTGTGCCATCAGCTACCTCTGAATACTAAATATTTTTTCAAACTATAAGCTGTAAAAGTCAGATAGGCAAAATGCTTTTAAAGGAATTTTATCTGCATTTATGCAAAGGGGTAATTTACTTAAAATATAATAAATAGAATACTATTGTTAAAAAAAAATAAAATTCCAGGTCAATGAGGATTCGTATTATTACTACTATGAGGTTAATGTTTTTGAATTTTCCTTAATGAACTTCTAACAACTGAGATTATTTTAATGCTCATAATATTCTATTTGCCTCCTAAATTATATTTCCTTGAAAAGTACAGAGGTTAATAATGTTTTGTTTAAATTTTTAAGGTTATGAATTCATGAGCAGCAAATGATAAAAATGGAGCACAAATGAAAAGTTTGTCATTAATGGCCTAGGGAAGGCCTACTAAGGCTGACAAATCTAGGTCCTCTTTCCCATCTCAGCTACTAAAAGATAAACTCCCTCCACTACTAGGGTCTATTCAGGGAGGAGCTGGTGAGAACAAGGATCCAGGTCTTGGCTTTGGTAGGCTCCTTCCCCCAGGACTCAATCGTGTGAAAAGCAAGGTTACCTTGTGAGGCAAAGGCCAACCTTCTGAAGGACAAGTGAAAATGGCTGGAACCCAGCCTGGGCAGAGAGCAAAGGGGTTATATGAACTTAAATTGAGAAAGTCTTTCTGGGGTCAAAGTGGTACAAAAGCTGTTTTGAAGCTCCTCTAAAGACTCCTTGATATAAAACTCAGAGTGACCTTGGTGGACGAGCTTCCTTGTTTCTCTACCATGATGCTAGCTAGGCTCCTCTGGTCCCCTAAAAAAAATCATTACCACATTCCGTACTTCCCTCACTTTGTTATACTGCCTGAAATTCTACACAGAGGCCCATTTGGCCTCTTTTAAAAGTCAAATAAGGGATTACAAGCTAGTTACACATACCTTCCCATTAATTAGTTTAATTAAATTCATTTCTTCCTAATACCTAGTTGAGATCTACTGGCCTGAGGAAAGGACAGAAGGGGGATAGGTGATTTTGAAACACGGCATATTATGGGGGCAAGGCAGGACTGGATGGGCCAAGCAGTTAGTCTGACAGCCAAAAGACCAAATGAGGGCACATGATGACTACTGAGCAAAGGAGAAGGCATTGGAGGAAGCAAGAAAAGGGAGCAAAAAGGGAGGTGAGAAGGCATCACAAACAGGTTTCTGCTACTCCTTAATTTTTGCCAATGAGGAGTTTCACCTTTTCCTTCTTCCAGATGCCTGATAGGAAAACTTGACTCCAAGGAGAGGCCTCAGGGAAGCCCCAGGCTATTGCGGCTCTTCTTCTCAGAAAACAGAATCCAGAATCCAGGTACACATAGCCCATCATTCTATGGATCCCTATCATGCAATGGAAAGAGCATTGGCTTTAGAAATCCTGAGCTCAAACAGCCATTCCAACACCTTTGTGGCTCATCAGGGATCCCATTTCCTTAGCTATAAAATAGATGATATTTAAGATTCCAACCAACTCTAGAATCCTACGATTAATTAAAATACAGTATTTTTAACTGAAACTAAGTAGAGTATAAAGAAAAAAAACCCTAAATGTTCATTTATTCAAGGAATTTGCCTTCTTCCAAGGTATACAAATGCATGACCATACATAACCTTAAATACACCTGAACACATATTCTTTTAGCCTTGGACAGTTGTAACAGATGTAGAAAAGGAGAATGAAGGAACTTATATTGAGCATCAAATCTGGGACTGGAGAAAGAGGGAAGGTGAGGAGATGATTGCTCTATTCCAGAAACGGAGTCCTCCTTTCCTTTACCCCATGATTGCAAACTCCCCACGACAGTACAGGATGAGTGCTCTTTCCATTGCATGATGCAAAAGAATACAAGAGAGAACCAGAGGGGCACATTTTGATCTTAACAACTCTGCTTTTGAAAATCGTAGAGACAAAGTGATGAGATCAGAGGTGTGAATGCAATAAAATCAGATCTAGTTCACCCAGGGCTCCAGCAGGTATGAATAACGCAAAAGGAATAACTAAGAAGACCATCATTACCTGTTGTGGTTCCCAATTTAAAAAGCAGGGTAACAGTATTAGATATCTTCTTGACACTCTCCATCCATTCCAAGAACCAGAATGAGATTCACCAAGAAGCGGTAAGTAGACAGCTTCCTCCCCACTCCCCCCACCCCAAGCTCCTTTTCTTCCCCCCTTTAATCCCCCTTCTCCTCCTGGCCAATCCCCTTCCAGATTCCGGAGCAAACCAAATTCTGCAGGGAGTTTACAGGATGTGGACAAAGACTAGTAAATGCCTAGCCCTGTTTTTGTTGATGCCTCCATCCTAAAAAGGTGCCCTCCCATTGTGTTCTCTTCTTTGTCTTTGGCACTGCCAACATTAGTGGGCAATATTCTTCTAGGGAAGAGGCTGTAATCAAGGTTTACCTCCCTATAAGGAAGTGTTCTATGTCTATTCAGTATAATACATGTATATGTGTATGCATATTTATATGTGTGTACATATATATACACACACATTCACACCTATGTACCACATACATATGTTTAGATTTGTATTACTAGTTATGTTCTCAGGTGTAACTCTCCCAAAAGAACTGCTCACAGTCAGTGACTACAGAAGTGCCATATTTTTGCTTAATTAACCTCCCCAGAATCTAGCATAGTGACTTGCAACACTCCCACAAGAAACATGTGTTAATTAGCTGATTAAACATACACACAGAGCTATGCTAGATGGGATCAGCAGCAAGATTTGAAAGTGGAATTATTAAGTGTGGGTAAGAATAGTGAAAATTTGAAAGGAAACAGAACATTTCTGTAGAATTTCTTGAACCTTAATGGAATGCTGAATAAAATACTAGTGTTGTAAGAATTAGGCAGCTAAGCGCTGGGCTTCGAGTCAGTAAAACTCATCTTTCTGAGTTCAAATCTGCCCTCAGACATTTACTAGCTATGTGACCTTGGGCAAGTCACTTCACCCTGTGGACTCAGTTTCCTCATCTATAAAGTGAGGGGGAAAAGGAAAAGGCACACCACTCCAGTATTTTTGCCATGAAAGCCCCAAATAGGGTCATGAAGAGACAGCCATGACTGAAAAACTACTGAACAACAACACTGTATGAATACTACTAATTTAAAGAGCTTCAAAATGACTACACTGCTAAGAACCACACAGCTCTCTGGAAATAAATTCGCAACATAAATTAAACAGTACATCCTAGTGATTTATGTGGAAATTATTTTACCAAGGAATCTTGATGGCATCATCAACCACAAAAGTACAAATCAAGTTGGTCTATGAAATCATTCTTTAATCTTACTAAATCCTGCAACTCACTGCAATTAATTTATTCTCTTTATGAATGCAGCATTATCGTAGAACTCTGGAAACACTATGAAATCTTTACTTGGCGTGACAACCAAATGAAATGATTAGATTAACTTTATATAACCAAGAAGTGGTTTTAGTTATCTTTTGCAAGTGCTTTTTAAATGATATCATATGTAATATATATTCCAAAATAAACTATGTCAGACTCTCTGACTAAAACTGATTATCTGAATGATTCATTATTACATCTCATGCGAGGCATGTTATAATAGCTGACTTTTTAGATGGTGCTTTAAATATATTACTTCATTTGATTCTCACAAGAATCTTCTAAGATAGGTATTACATGTATTATTAGCCTCATTTTAC